TAAAAAAGTGGGGTGGGAAAATGTGGTTTTTCCAAACTTCCGCTATAAAAGGGGGGGTGACCCACCCCCCAAAGACCCCCCCCCCCGCAGGGGGGGTGGGGGGGAATTCTGTGAGTTGAAGTCCACTCATCTTAAAGTGGCCAAGTTTGGACAACACTGCTTTAACCCATCCAGTTTTTCAGGATCCTTCAGCCAGCTTTTCTTGTGACTGTTCCTGACATTTTACCTTGGTGGGAATGTAGTTCAGCAGAGGAAGGAAGAAGAAATGTTCCACCTGTGCAATAATGTCAGAGCTAATTTATTTGTGTTTCTTTAGCATCTCATAGTAATCTATACAGGTTATACCCATAGAGCCATTTTTAAAGTTTACAATGTTTATATATACTGCCATTTACTTTTTTAGGATTGTTTATTTATGTACTTTAATTTATCTAGAATTGAAATGAATGAATGATGTTGGTGACACCGTTCAAATTTCTACTCTAGGACCAAATGCCATAGAAACTGCAGGACAAAAGTTTAAATCTTTGGAAAAGAATGGCAGTTTAGTGGCAAAATGTGTTACATACAGAAGGTGTCTTATCAGTTCCTGATACCTCGAGATAAAGCTGTAAAAGACCTTCCTGGGTTCCTAGAGAAGTCCTGCCATTTACCTGTAGTGTGTTGACTATAAACTAAATGGGACAATCTTGTGATGCAGCTTCCACTTTTTTTTTTTGAAGCTACCATTAATGTCTAGTTGATTGTTCATTGTTTAGAAAGTAAGTATAGCCGTCTGAAAAAAAAAAAAAGCTTTCCAGTGTAACAACATAGTCATAATAATCTACATTTCAGTAGATCTGTTTGTAGTATTTGAGTTGATAAGTATATTTTCTCTTACTAGGATTCAGTTACAACAGAAGCATTCTCCAAATACACTCATTCTCTATCATTTTGTTGGGAAACCAATGTCTAGCAGTTCAGAGCCTACATTGATCCTCAAACGTCTCACTTTAAAAGTAGGTCCATTTTACTGTGTATCAGCATATGGGAACCGGAGTGCTTGTTCACTGAATAAAAGAATTTTATTTCACTATATTATATTATGCTTAAATTTCCTTTTTTTTTTTTGGTATTTTTATTAGACATTTTCAAAAAGATATAAACATAAAAAAGAAACTAGAAAAAGGGATAAAAGGATAAAAGAGTTAAGACAAATGGATAAGCAAGGGATTTAAAATGTCATGGAAATTAAATTTTCCAGTATATCATTAGTTAATTATTAATAACTGAACATATTACAATGTTTTATAGACTGAAAATCACTATAAAGCTGTAAAATAAGCATGAATGTCGAGAACCATGCCTAACACAGTATAAATTACCAAGTGAGATTATAGGCACAGTAAATTAATCTGTATCACTGAGAGTCTATTCTGATTTAAACATCTTGTAAAATTGAAATACAGATTCTGTGAATGGAGAAACTAAAATTTTGGATGTAGTACAAATCCATGTGTTAAGTTGTAGTCTAATAATTTTAAACTTAAATTTTATTTTAATTGATCTTTGTTTTGCAAAAGCAAGAAATCCCCCTTTATTAGGAAGAATATTGAGCATAAGAAACATTTTCTGGTGTCATTTGTAGCCATCTGGCTAAGGAATAAAACCAAGCTGTATTCCTAAGTTTGTGGCTTTAGGCAAGCACAGCTTACATTTCTCAGTTGACAGCATGCTGTTCTGCCAGTGCACTAACCTCTCTTAGTTTATTTGTTTGTGATACTGAAAAAATATCTTAATTCTTTGTCTAAAATATGGTCTTGATGGTACATGATATAATTCCTGTGGCTAAAGCTGTGTAATTCTTGCTTTGACAAGAAAGCACTTGAGAATCTCATGTAAGCCATTCAAAGGCATAACAACTGTACATTTTGATTTTAAAAGGATCATAATTTGTTACATCTAACATTGATTTCATTTATAGGGTCTTAATAATCTCTCAGTGCTATTATTCTGTGTTCTAGTTTTGAAATACCAAGGATATTGTGCAGATGTACCTGTGCTGCAGCAAAGCTACAGTGGATCTGTCATTGGGCTAAGGAACAGGAAACTACATAACGTGCTGAGTGATTTTATGGTTAAAACCAGTGGTTGACTAAACAAGAGAACAGTTAACTACAGTTTGGTTTGTTGTTGGCTTACCTAAACTAGTGTAGCATACAGGCTAAACCTGGAGTTAGAGGTTATTAATTTATAGTTAACTTCCAGTTCCAGTCTTTGGACAGAAAGATGAGAGCTTAAGTGGCCACAAAATAGTGCCTTTCCAGCTGCATTGTTTTTTCTGATCCTTTTTTAAAAAACCTCCTCAGCTATGTGAGGTCCGAAAGGATCTGTCTCTTTGTTTCATCTTTAGATAAAATATTATTTAGATAAAACATTGTTTCTGTTTTCCCATAGCTTATGCAAAATTCCTGGTCAGTCTCACCTACATCATTGGATCCAGCAAAATTATTAGAAGAATTTCCTCGTTGGCTAGAAAAACTTTCTGCTCATCAGCAAGGCAGTATTATAATCATTATTGATTCAGTTGATCGAATTCAGGTATAGTATCTTTGACCTTTGCATTACTGAAAGATGAATTTAGAATTGCTTTATTTCTTAGAATTTTAACAAGATAAACTTTTTTTGCAGTGGAGAGAATGCACCAGAAGTGCATGTGCACCTGCACGCACACACACAGAGAGTACATTCACATTTGGAATTGCACACACATAGAAATAAGAAACATAAATAGAACTGGGAGAGAACATTGCTCCTTGCATATGATTCACATATGCTAAGCTATGATTTATTTTAAACATGCAGTCAAACAGACCAACAAGCAATCTGCTTAACACATAAAATTAAGCTATAATATAAAATGTGTTTTAACAACCAAAACATTGGCTGCAACACCCTAAGCTAAAAACAAATCCCATTATAGAGAGGCCAGGAAAAGCTCTTCTTTGGAGATATTGACTGCAATTTATATGACCTCAAACACGTAGTTTTATGCTCTCTCTGGTGTATTTTCTTGTTGGACTACAGAATTCTTGTGTGATTCTATTTTATGAAGGCTGTTGAAAGAGAAAATGTAATATAAAGGATATTTTTCAGTGAGATAATTAATATTAAAAATACATGTACCTTTAACTTTTTACAGCATTCTGAATTTTCAATTAACCTTTTGTCTCTCAGCAAGCTGAAAAGCATATGAAGTGGCTGATTGATCCCCTGCCAGTGAATGTAAGGGTTGTAGTATCTGTGAATGTTGAAAGTTGCCCACAAGCTTGGAGGTAAGTTTATTTTTCTGTAAAATAAATGATCTTTATGCTATTCAGTTGGGAAAAATCAAGCATAGTGAATTCCTCTCAGTTGGAAACAGCAAGTTAAATATCATGTAAGAGTCAGCTCCGTCTGTACAGTACATATGGCAGAATGCTTTTACTAGTTTAATCGATGAAGACAAATGGGCATATCTGCAAGGAGAATGATGTTTTTTACAGCAAGGTGATGGTGAAAGCCATTCAGAAAATATAGATGCTCCTGAATTGTACCACTTCAGAATGCAAGGGGGAGAACATATGTTTTACTCTCATGTCAAAATATGTTCATTTGTAAATTATATTGGTTAAAATAGAATCATAAAACATTTTTCTTCGGTAGAAGATTGTATCAGAATTGGTACTTAGATTCTGTCTTTTCTTTAAGTAAGGATTTTCTGATATGAGTCTGCATTTAAACATTGCTGTCTTCTAAAATGATTTTATTGGCTTGCTGAATAAGATAAGATTTTCACTGTGACAAGATTTTGGCTGTAGGGATAAGTTGATTTAAGTGTGTTGCTATACAAGATTATTTTATGTTATGTTAATCATTGATGGTTGTAATCAAGTTATTCTAAGATCCTTTTTGTCAGTATTGTTATCAAACCAATACTCCCCATCCTGTACCTCTGCATTTGATTTTTTTTTCTTAAGTGAAGAACTTTGCATTTATCCCTGTTATTTTCATACCCATTTATCCTATCAATTTCATTTTTACTTCTGTATTTGTTTTCTAGGATATTAATTATCCCACCCAATTCTGTCTCTTCAAATTTAATAGGCATTGCTTCCAATTCTTCATTCAAGTCTTTTAATAAAAGTGTGGAGTACTTCACTCTTAATTTGATGAGAAACCATTAATAATCACTCTTTAATTTCTGAGATAGCTATATATGCAAGTGATTGTTTTGCTGTCTGGCACACACAGCATTCAGAGCACTGAAGCTTCAGAGATTTGCCCTGGGTTTTAAAAATTATTCTTGTATTGGAATTTACTTTTTCCACATGGTAAATTCCACCTGTGACAGTCTGCTTTCTGCTTTCTCTTTGAAAGGCTGTGGCCTACTCTTCATCTTGAACCATTAACTGTTAGCTATATGAAATCTCTGATTAATGAAGAATGTAACTCTGCAAGCCTGAAGCTGACCATAGAACAGGTATTGCTGCTTCATAAATATGAATACGTTAGCTTAGTACTTACCAGGCTTAATTATAGATATTTAATGTTAAAAAGAGAAATTATTACTCTAGTCTCATATAACATTAAAGAAAAAATCAAAATGTTCTACACTGAAAATGGATAACTCAAGGTTTAAAATGTATGAAAGAGAACAATTGTTCATACTTAAAGCCCCACTTGAACTAAAGGGTTAATTGCCGTTAAAATTATGCTTGTCCCATTGCTTGTTATAATGATTTGGTATACCTGTGTCTCCTCTAGATTACACTTGTGGGCTTTAGATTTTAAGTTGCCGAATATATGATTGTGAGTAGCTAAGCATGTTTAGCAAAGGAATCAAGTAACATTTCAATAAAGCTCTTGGGATGCTGTAGTAAGTCTGAAAATATATGGAACAGCTATTTTCATATATTCTAAAACATAGATAGAGAACTTGTGGTCCTCCAAATGTTAAGCTTTTGTAGAAACTATAGCTTCTAGGAGTTCTCTCCATTGGTTATGTTAGTATGGACTTCTGGAAATTGTAGTTCAAAAAATCTAGAGGGTTCCCTTGTTTCAGGATGTTGAAATTTGTTCTCAAATGTACTTATTTTTTAAAAACATATATTTTTTGAAAATTAACTTTTCTTATACTTAGTTTTGTATAGTTGTATGATTATGTGTTGGTGTGATGTTTCTTGTACTTCATATGAAGCTATGTACTTGACCACAGCTTTCAACACTGTAGAAAGATTAATTTCATATTTGGTTGTCTACTCCTTTAGGAGAAGAAGCTCGAGAAACATGGTCATTCTACTTCAATATGCAATGCCCTCTTTGTCACTCTTTTGGGCAGAATGATGGCTGGGTATGTTAAAAAGATACTGAAATGATGCTGCTGCTAGAAAATAATTGTTAAGGACCCAGATCCAGTAAAATTAGTACTTTTACCATTCTTAGGAATTGGTATCAAAACACAAATGTGCATAAATACTAGGTGTCCAAATGGAATTACAGTTTGCATTCATCTTTAATAACATGAAATAAGATCCCAAATGTTTTGGCCATCAAAATCAGGTGGAAAATTAGGTAGTGGAAAATCCTTTTGCATTTATTTATTTATTTATTTATTTATT